ATTTTGGGGGTAATTGCCTCCAAATTTTAGGAATTAGGGGCCAAAAAGGGGCAAAAAACAAGCATTTTTCTAGTTTCATGGCAATAACTTGTGTGTAAGTGTATGGATCTTTATGAAATTGTACTACAAGGTTCCATATCACAAAGGGAAAGCTGGGTTTGAGTTTGTGGGTAATTGCCCTAAACGTTTAGGAATTTGGGACCAAAAAGGGGCCAAAAAACAAGCATTTTTCTAGTTTCCAGACAATAACATGTGTTCAAGTGTATGGATCTCTCTGATATTGTACTGCAAGGTACCATACCACAAAGGGAAGGCTGGGATTGAGTTTTGGGGTGATGAATCATAAGGGGGTTCAAAAAATTTGGGGGGGGGGGATTCTTTTTCCTTTTTTTTCTTTAAAATTTTCCATTTTAAATTGGTTATTTCTGATTAATTTATAAAAGCAAATAATAATGATATGGTTTGAATAGGTAAATTAAATTTTTTTAAGTATCTTAGACCACTTTCATTCTGTGTCAGAAACCTATGCTGTGTCAAATATTTAATTACAATCCAAATTCAGTGCTGAATCAAGCTTGAATGTTGTGTTCATACTTGCCCCAACTGTTCAGGGTTTGACCTCTGCGGTCGTATCAAGCTGCGCCCCAGCGGAGCATTTTATTTCATTCATAAATTACTTTATGCTTGGAAATATAATTTTGCTTGGAGTTGAAAGAGTTGACATGTTGCAATGTACATTTACTCTACATAGTTCTATGGTACCAAATCAAAAGTTTATATAAAGAAAGAAGTCAAAGGTTTCCCATCATAGTTTAGTTACATAGATTTTTTTTTGTACCTGAGGTCGTTGAATATAGATCATTATATAAATAAGGAGATGTGTTATGATTGCCAATGAAAAAACTAAGGATTTTCTTATCCAAGGAATAGATTTCCTTAGCCGTATTTGGCACAACTTTTTGGAATTTTGGGTCCTCAATGCTCTTCAACTTTGTACTTGTTTGGCTTTGTTACTATTTTGATCTGAACGTCACTGATGAGTCTTATGTAGACGAAACACACGTCTGGCGTATTAAATTATAATCCTGGTACCTTTGATAACTAATTTGACTATAAACATAGATAAAAAAGGTACAAACTGGACATAATGCACTAGTTCATAAACAAGTGAGAACAATCGCCTTCATATAGTACTCAGAATATGACATTCATAAAACTTATTCAATATCATTAGAGAACTCTAAATCTTAAATACTGAAAGCCACCTCTGATAAGTACACTGTACTATGCAAGATAATGATATAACTGGACTTAAAATACACACAACCTGTAATTAACTGCATTTACAGCGCTTTCGTGCTTTGATTGTACATAAATTAGGCCGTTAGTTTTCTCGTTTGAATTGTTTTACATTGTAATTTCGGGGCCTTTTATAGCTGACTGTGCGGTATGGGCTTTGCTCATTGTTGGTAGGCCGTACGGTGACCTATAGTTGTTAATTTCTGTGTCATTTGGTCTCTTGTGGAGAGTCGTCTCATTGGCAATCATACCACATCTTCTTTTTTATATTTAAGGTTAAGTTTTGGTGGTCAAGTCTATATCTCAGATACTATAAGCAATAGGTCTAGTATATTCGGTGTATGGAAGGACTGTAGGGTGTACATGACCAACTGAGAGGTGTCATCTGACCTTGACCTCATTTTCATGGTTCAGTGGTTATAGTTAAGTTTTTGTGATTTGGTCTGTTTTTCTTATACTGTATGCAAACGGTCTACTATATTTGGTGTATGGAATGATTGTAAGGTGTACATGTCTCGCTGGCAGGTGTCATCTGACCTTGACCTCATTTTCATGGTTCAGTAGTCAAAGTTAAATTTTTGAGTTTTGGTCTTTTTTTCTAATACTAAATGCAATAGGTCAACTATATTTGGTGTATGGAAACATTTTATGATGTACATGTCAGTCTCGCAGGTTTTTTTACCTTGACCTCATTTTCACGGTTCATTGCTCAGTGTTAAGTTTTTGTGTTTTGGTCTGTTTTTCTTAATCTATAAGCAATAGGTCAACTATATGTGTTGTATGGAAGGATTGTAAGCTGTACATGTCTGCCTGGCATGGTTCATCTGACCTTCACCTCATTTCCATGGTTCATTGGTCAATGTTTAGTTTTCTTTGTTAAGTCTGCTTCTTAGAAACTATAAGCAATAGGTCAACTGTATTTAGTATATTGAATGTTTGTAAGGTGTACATGTATTTCTTGTCGGGTTTATATGACCTTGAATTCATTTTCTTAGATCATGTTGAGTTTATGTGATAGTTGTAGTAAAGCTTTATATTTAGGACTATCAACATGATATCAATGATTAGTAAAGAAGGCGCAACATTTCAGCTTGTGCACTCTTGTTTATACATTATACACCACATTTACTGTTTTTACCCTGATTTTATGGATCACTGAACATAGAAATGTCATAATGTGAAATTATAATACATTCTTAGGTTAAAGTTTTAGGTTAAGGTACATAGCTTACCATGAAGTTGAATTTCATACACATGTTCATTATGTGGTGAACTTTTAAATTCAGTGCCAAACTAAGATTTTGAGCCTGATTACATGATTGACTAGACATTGACACATGCTAGTGTTTGCCAGGCATGGTGTCCTGTACTAGGAATTTGTCCTGTACTAAGAAATTTAATACATGTAGTACTTGCTGAGTATGGAGTTTTTGTGAAAGTTTAAAATTAGTGAGATTTTTGCGTGACATCCTGTCAACTGCTTGTTGATCATGTTTATACATGTCTTAAAATTAATATCTGACACATTGGTGTTTTGTGAACTTGGAAATAAGTTATTTGATAGAATAATAATGTTTTGAGATTATCAAAATAAAAAATATCCCATTTTTACTATTAATAATTAAGTATTAACAAAAAGAAGATTTAGGATATATGTATAACCATATATAAAAATGAGACAGCAACCGAACAACACAAAAATAAGAAAAAAAACCCAATATAATTTTTTGTATCAATGTTATAATTTCCAACATGTCAAAAGAGTTCAAGGTATTTTCTCATTGAAATAAAACACAAGTGGAACTCTTTCAGAACTTCAGATAATTTTTTGTATCAATGTTATAATTTCCAACATGTCAAAAGAGTTCAAGGTATTTTCTCATTGAAATAAAACTCAAGTGGAACTCTTTCAGAACTTCAGAAGCTTAAAGAAGTGCTGTTTCTATTGTTGGCGTTTTGTATAATATATTGCAAATTCTTGTAAAAAATGGAATGTTATTGTAATTGCCTAAAGTTTTAACATTAATCTATATATATGTATATATATAACTGGGGAAAATACCCAAATGTTTTAAAGAAGAATACATAAATTGATTGTTATATAATATTAGAATAGGAAGATGTGGTATATTGCTAATTTTTCAACTCTCCATCAGAGACCAAAGGATGTAGGAGATTAGCAACTGATGACACTGGACAACCTTCAACAATCAGTAAAGTCCATACCGCATAGCTATTTTTATTGAAAATCATATGTTATTGCTACATGTATGCAAACAATTTTTTATAATCCATAACTCCGGATTTTATTGGTTCTTTTTCAGAAGGATTTAAATGCATCACTTAGAATAAAAGGAGAAAACACAGAAACAAGACCAGAATAAATTCAAAGACAAAAAAGTCAGATCAGTTACTATTTTCATCACTCAGTCAATGAATCGAAGTGTTATTTAATATCTAAAGATATTAAAACCACAATAATGACAATGTTCTGTGCTGAATGGCCAAAAAGTGGACTATACATTACGATCACACAATGCTGGATGATAAGAAACTGTTAATTTTTTGGGTGGAGGGATATCCTGAAAAAAATTAGATTTATGTAAAAAGCTACTAGTATGTTAAGCCTAATAATAGAGTTTTCATTGATTCCAAATGGGAAAAAATTGTGTTTCAAAAAAGTATTCTAGAATTCATAAATAAACATATATTGATACTTACATTATCTGCTTTGTTGTTTAAAAGTTTAGTTTTGAACAGTTATAGAACAATATAATTGCATTAACATTTCCAAGGAAAAAAAGATATTCAACTAAAAAGATTCATCTTAAAACAATTTACTACCGAACAGAATTCATTGTAACATACACATTACTGTATATTTAAAATTTGAATCCCATAGGATTTTATTTTGTCCCATGGGATATTAAAAATCCCATGGGATAATTATAGTCCCATGGGATTTTTTTTGTCCCATGGGACAACAAATATCCCATGGGACTACAATTATCCCATGGGACCCAAAAAAATCCTATGGGATTTAACCAAAATCCCATGGGATAATGGTAAATCCCATGGGATTTGCCCTATCCCATGGGATATTGAAAATCCCATGTTTTTCTAAATCAAATTACAAAATATATATAATAATAACAGCAGAAAAGCAATGAATTTATTGAATCCCATGTAATTCCGCACATTTTGGTTATAGACACGACACTGTAGGTCTAAGGAGAGGCGGCGGCGGATTTGCAAATGAGTGTTTTGCAAATTAAAAGTGTCCAGTGTTCATGGTATGTTTTCGTTAATAGGTTAAACCTTGGGGTAAAGTATGGTATGTTTTTGTAAACAAGTTAAACCTTGGAGTAAAGTATGGTATGTTTTGGTAAACAGGTTAAACCTTGGGGTAAAGTATGGTATGTTTTGGTAAACAGGTTAAACCTTGGGGTAAAGTATGGTATGTTTTTGGAACAAAGCCAACTAATGTAAAGGCAATTAAAAATGTACAATAATATTGAACTTGTGTCATTCAAATGTAAATAGGGTTTCGGCGCCTTTTATTTGCTATTTTTATCAGGAATTTCTCTAGCTCTTTGAAGGTACAGCTAAATTTTCAACTTAATTCTTTACATCGATGAAAAAAATTTAAAACATGATGTAATAATTTGCATTCGATCCTAATACGTCTGACTTTGAAATTGCAACAATGACACAACAAACCCTCAGAAAGTCTGCAACTATAAGAGAATATGAACCATTGTGAAAAAAGTTCAAGGAAAAAAATAATGATGTATTTCTATTCAAAGTAAATTACTATTTTTCTAGTGATATTAAAGATATTTTCTTTTCTTTTTTCTTTTTTATTAGCTTTCAAACATAATTCATCATTTTGTTGTATATTTTAAGATCTGAGCTCATTGCACACACTGACTTCTTTTTCAGCTGGTCAGATTCAGAGAATCACACATTCCAATATGCGATGGTAAATTCAGTCTAACCATCGTCCATATATTCTTGACGGAACGATTTAGCAAGAGTTGCAATATCTTTTTCTGTAAAATTCATTTTTTTATCATAAAAATAGCGGAAAGCTTTTGCTCTATACTTTCCTTCATACCAATAATATGAAAATCTTGGATCAATTACAGTGTATTGACCTGTATCACTAAATCTCTTTGGTGGTGGACATCCATAATGGTCAAGTTTGGCTATTTTTACCGGAAGCTCTTTTCCTGATTTAATGATATCGATATTTTTGTGCATCTCCTCACATATGTAGCATTCAAACCCAGAAAAAAGCGAATAAAATGGTTTTGTCTTATCATGGTATTTCGACCATTCTCTTTTGTTTATTGAATCAATCAGAAAAGTATTCGTCAATCCTCTGGGTTCTTTATACTGTAAATATTCCTCGTATGCAGTATCGTTTCTATCTAAATATTTAATAAAGGCTGCAAGCTTTTCCACATCATCAAAATCATTTATGACAACTGCAGATTTCTTGTTTGGTAAATAATCCTGTAGATCAAAGTGAAAAGAAATTAAATGTCGTTAATGAAATGTCCGTTATTAATGACATCAAAATGTCCAATTTATAAATCTATTTTAGTTAAGCAACATTAACGATGTTGATGATTTCATTGTTTTGTAAACTCCTTTGTATATATATATATCTGTGATCCGTTTATTTGGCAATCGCCATGGCAGTCAGCAGGGTTTAAGAACATCCGTTGTTCGACCTGCTAGTCAAATGCGTTTTGTTAAAATATACTTTTTCACTTTTTTGGTCTTTTGGAAAATGTTGTTTGTGCTGTATTTAGACCCCTCTACAAAGAAATTTGTTTTGCATGCACACGTATAAAAATTGCGGTTTTTATCCAACGCAATTATAGGTTTGAACGTTGTTTTCAATTTAGACTTGTTTATATTTTTTCGTTTGGGCTTGTATTATATTTGCCTTCGGGTTTATATGATCCGTTCATCCTATTTCGACCTTTCAAAATTCAGAAGTCAATCCCAAATTGAGGTAAATTATATGGCCTTCCAAATACCGTTTCGATTCCTAACATCACTGAAGAGACATTAATTGTCGAAATCCGGATATGGTGTACAAATTTTTGCACCTCATGTTTGCGGTATACCATCTTTTCCGCAAGTTTATTGTTTTCTGTTTGGTATTAAATTGATATAATTAAAATCCATTGTGTTACATCTGTGATCCGTTTATTTGGCAATCGCCATGGCAGTCAGCAGGGTTTAAGAACATCCGTTGTTCGACCTGCTAGTCAAATGCGTTTTGTTAAAATATACTTTTTCACTTTTTTGATCTTTTGGAAAATGTTGTTTGTGCTGTATTTAGACCCCTCTACAAAGAAATTTGTTTTGCATGCACACGTATAAAAATTGCGGTTTTTATCCAACGCAATAATAGGTTTGAACGTTGTTTTCAATTTAGACTTGTTTATATATATATATATATACATGTTACAGGTATTAAAATTTTCTAAATTCAAGCATCTTGTAAAATGTCTGAATTTTAAGGCAATTCGTAAAATGCTTAAACTTGACAGGCATTATATAAAATGACCTAAAGGGGCATGAGCTGACAAATTTATGTTCACCGATTTGACTCAAATTCTAATATTTGATTTATAACATACTAAAACGTATATCCAAATTCCAAAAAGTCTAAAATAAATAATTTACGATGCATGAACTTGATAATATGTATCAGCATTTCGTGTGTTTTTTAGTCTAGACGCCATCTAATTAACCATCGAGGTGACCTCCGAAGACTGCCGACGGTCATATTACCCGATACAAACATAGATAGATATATATATATATAGGTAGCGAACACGTGCAATTGGATTTGTCTAGGTCTGTTTGATTTCATATTATAGGTTAAATAAATATGTTACTCATTGTTTTTCCCTGTATAAGAATGAGTTTTTGTGGATCGAATCAGTCAACCAAATGGTTTACCCTTGTTTCACTTTCAATGTTGACATTCCTTTCCTTTTAATAGCTAGTTCATGCGTAAACCCATCGTTGGCTAAGGGGTTAAATAGAAGGTGACTTGAATTCATCAGCGATGTTTCTTAGATTAATTTGACAAAATTGAAACAAACTGGCTGCTAAAAGAACATTATTATTTCACTATTTCACTTTCATTAATGATTGAACAAAAAAAAATCAAATTCTATTTTTTTTATATTTTTTATAGTTAATGCCCCTTTAAAGTACCCAGTCATTTTGTAAAATCACTGTCATTTAGTTACAAAATTCATCAAATTTCCTTATCAATTTTACGCAATTTATAGATAAATGAAATCATTTGTATACATGATAAGAAAACAATACCTGGAAAAAAACAATGAAAAATTTTCAGTAAAATAAAGATACCTGGAGGTAAATTTTTAACGTGGTGACAGTTTTTATATTCATAGTGAGTATGATCGGCCATCTTTATATAATTTTAAGATATTTCATGACGCCATCGCTACAATATTTAACCAAGCCGACATTATAATATGTTTTCCTCTTTTGACTTTAACATAACCCTGTAAAATAATTAGTCTTTATGTGCTTGTCCCAAGTCAGCAGGTCTGTTTGTGAATTGTTGTCCTGATTAAAGTCCTAGCAGATCCCCTCATATTTTTTTATATAAAAGCAATGCAGTGACAGCAAATAGTGTGCATCTTTTGATGTTTTCTTTCATATCAAACCTTCAGAAGAAATAGATTAAATTATTAATAATTTATTTAATTATACATGCAATATTGTGAAATCCCGTAATGAAACAGTTTTAATTAGTATGATTAGATAAGACCTCTGTTTTGAAATAAATTTAATGTATGAATTCGAGAAAGGATAAAAGAAATTTCACTGAGAATCTATAACGACAAGGATCTTGAGTTTCAAAGACTAATGCATTTATTGCATCATTTTCAAGTTGCACTAGGGTATAGTTATCTACGCTCCCCCACACACACGCGCGCACACATATGAAACAGTCCTGTGAAAGTTTTAAAACATCGTAAATATTCTAATAACTCACTTTAATTTTTGGAGATCCAAACACTATAGGAACCGATCCTAAATGAAATGGTCGCCATAACTTTTCTGTTATATAATCATCACATACTGCATTCTCCATTGCTAAAGTAAACTTGTATTTGGCTCCAAGTTCGTAAAATTCTTTGGAAGTCATTGGGGCCATGCTTTTACCGAATGATAAACTGCAACATTAAGTACTAGTAATTCAAATATTGATAAATGAATACAAAGAAGAATAACTGTAATTGATAGATATTCAAGAACAACTGGCATTTTTCATTTTGTTTTTCCTGTTTCTTCGGGCGCATTGTATTTGAGTTAACCGTTCTTTAATGCAGTATTTCATTTGCGCCACAAGGTTATATTTGATTAAAAAAATAAATTTTTAAAGATCAATAATTATTTTTCGCCATTTTACAGCTGTTAGCACAATTGACGAATGACATTCTTCCATTGTAAGTTGTATCGTAAATACAAGGCTTGTATTATAAATTTTAATAAAAAGGTATTCAATTGAGTTCAAACTCATTTTTCTGACATTACGGAAAGTCGCTTAGGTATAAATTTACATTTCCAAGGTGACAAGATAGACATAAATCAGTCGGAGAAAAACAAAGGAAATTATTCCGTATTTTTTATGACAAAACATACAGATTATCCAGTGTATAAAGGAATAGAAATAAGTTTTATAGCTGCAATCCGTATTGTTAAAGGTATGCATGCACATCCCTTAATTCACTTTATGATGCAAACAGAAGCTGCAGGTAATGCGTTTTTAACGTACCCTGCTCTATATCCTACATATCCCTCGCCGTGGTGATATGGGGTAACATGTAACGCAGGCGAACGGAAGTGATTAATACCAGTTTTTGATATATTAGCTGATTAGTTATAATATAATACTTATACTATATGTATTAACCCGTATTATTGGCGTAAATGAAATCTTTTATTTTGTAACTATTTAATTGTTAAAATTATAATTATTTTTATTGAAAATTCACTTGCAGACTCTGTATATAAAAGGAAATGTGAAGATTACGTTGTTTATACGGCTATCAATCAAGTAAACATACAATCACATTAGTTAACAGTAGACAGATGTCTATAAAAACATAAGTCCAGCTCTAAATCGTTAGAGTCTATGTCGCTGTGAATAATTAAACAAAGGGATATGCAATCATGCAGTAACAAATATAATTCTAATATAGCATAATACAATCAAATACTTCTCCAAAATGTTGTAATTATAAATATATGCTAGATAATTTGTGTCTACAATTTTATTTATGCAAACCAATTCCTAATGTTTACAAAACATGTATTACGGAAAATAATATTAAGTAGCCACAACTTAGCTATAGAAAATGGAAGATTTTATGTTTAGCAAGAAATAATACAATATGTACTTTTTGTAAAAAATATATAGAGGATGAGTTTCATTTCATCCTCAAATGTCCATTTTTCAAGGTTTTCGAAAATTTTGTATTAAGCCATATTATTGGAAAAAAAAACATCGATGTACAAATTTATTACACTAATGAGTACAAACAATGTAAAAGAGCTGTGTAATTTAGGTAAATTTATTTTTAGATCTTTTAAGCTTAGAACCGATATGTTAAAATAATGTTTATTTATAATTACAACACCTTCTGCTATTCTGTCACATATTTTTATGTTTATATATGTATTATTGATGTGGATGTATTTCAAATGTGCACCTATAGTTTATATAGACTTTGGTAATAAAGATATATATAAAATCACAGTTGAGGTTCCCGACTTGAAACATTTCTTTCTATGGGTCTCCTTTCCCCGTATTTGACTTCGATCAGTGTACTAACAAGAGCATTTACAAAATGTAAAAAAAAAATACATATCAAAGATGCCATGCATATTATTTGGTACGCAAGTCACGCGTTTTGTCTACACAAGACTCACCGGTGACTATCGCAAAAAATGTTGGAACACCATATCAAATACGGTTTAAGAGCAGTACAGTACTGGACAGAAAAAAGTACTAACTTCTACTAAAATGTCTAAGATCAATCGGCTAACTAGTCTACATAAAATCACAGCATTCGTTAGACGAGCGATGTCTTAGTGTAAGACTGTATTACAATACATTTATATAGTACATAAGAGGTGGTCTATCACAATGCATATAACAACGAGTAAACAAACCTGTCCATTAGTTCTACTTTATAAAATATTCACTTTATTTTAGTAAATTATACATACCTCTCTGGCAAAGCTTTATTATTGTTACATTTACCATACGAGTCTACTCGTATAAATTTCTGTAGTAACTCCACGTATACATCTCTGTTGGATGGTACATTACAATCACTATGAATATAAAATATTGGTGCTAAATTTTCTTCAGTTTGATATCTATTTTTATCTTGTGTTGACACAAGATATTGTTTGCTCTGTAGGTAGGAAATGCTTGGTAAGAAATGAGTAGTGATTGGATAGTCGGATTCACGTTTGAAGGTAGCAGTGTAATTAAAAAGAGATAGTATCTCTTCATGATTGAAAAGAAAATCGGCATTTTTCGGAGATTCTTCATGAATAACAGCCCACGTTATTTCCTGTCGTCGATGTTTTGGTAGATCCATGAAATAGAAATGTGTTCCATAATAAATGATTGCCTACGAAATAGAAATATAAAAATATGAAATATTTTTTGATAAAATTCACTAATAAATTATGTCTACTATAAGTTAACTAACAACCCATACAAAACTTATATAGGCGTTGTTATGAATAGCATGTACATGTATTTGACCCACGAAGTTGAACACGAAATCGATCGCTACAAACATCCCTCATTTTGTATCATTTGAGTTAGACATTTGAAGAATTTTTATTTGCAAAGGGTAAAAGTGTATCTCTCAAACAATGTGTTAAAATCTACCAAAATTTAACTCAAACTGATTCAACGTTATCATGGTTATGGAATTTCGGAATAACAAAAGGATCTGATTCACCGGATCATTAATCTTTGTCAGATAACCATCAATCAACAAAAACAATTTTATTTTACTAAAAGTGTAAATTGTTTTGAAATGTAAATATCAAATCTCCCAAATTTGAAGCCAATACATGCATTCATTATTGTTCATGGCGATTATAGTTTAATTCCTACCTTCCATCTAAGGGGGGGGGGGGGGGGGGGGGGTAACGCAACACTGAAATACTGACCCCTGTATTCCAATGGAATTCTTAACGAATATTGCAATATAAACGTTTTATTGATAGATAAATATTGGCTTCAGATTGTTGCTCGTGTCTTATTATATAAGATTCTCTACTAATGCGTATATCTAAAAGGATTGTTAGATTTATTATGTAATTTGTGTTGCTCTGGGATATATGTTGAAGTTTCTTCATAATTGTAAATCAGAGTGATCGAGTTATATGAAATTTCACTTAAAGTTTGAAAAATTTTAAAAGACATATGAAGATCTTCAGTAAACAATAAATTTTTAAACTTTTGGAGAACACAAAAATACACCCAGATCCAATACTCAAATTAGCTCCTGAAGAAGTAAACACTTATGACCACATTATTTATGTATTGCGGGACGAACAATCTATTTTTGAAGCACTTAAACTTAGCCTTTTAAAACTAATTGCATGTAATAGAATAACAAAAAATACACTCTAAAAGTACACTGTAATCAATACAAAAAAAACCCACCTAACTCAATGATAACTAACAATGAAGAAGCAATAAAACAAGTTGTACACTAAACATTTTGGCCAGCCATATCTCCCTTTAAAAACATGTGTATGATTGAAATATGATTAAAATACCAAAGTGACATTCAAACTCATAAGCCGAAAACAAACTGACAACGCAATGACAAAAAACGAAAAACGACCAAAAGACAAACAATAGTAAACAAAACACAACATAGAAAAGTAAAGACCGAGCAACACGATCCCCACCAAAACCCGTGGTGAGCGATCTAAGGTGCTCCGGAAGGGTTAACAGATCCTTTTTAATTTATCTCACCATTGTATCTGGGTGATCAGTCAAACTTCGATTTGATACTACATGACATTTAACACCTTGTTTACAGGTTATGAAGTCATCTTTTCCTGCGCCATGTGAATAAAAGTCCCACCATAGTAACTTTGGTATAGCAGGAATTTGTTTTCCGATATTCGTAATTTTTACATTATCACGTGTAAGATCTGTTGCCATTTGATTCAGCTTTTCTATTCCATGAACTGGTGTTTCTGACGAAAGTTTTGATATTCTAAGTAGAGGATAAGTAGAAACAGTTTGATCTTCGTATTGGTATGAATCTTCTTTAGAAGTTTGATGTTTTAATGTGGTAGAAGTTTTGGAATCAAGTTGTTCGAACTCTTCGTTTCCTTCAAGATCATCAACCGACATCAATGGTTGTCTTTCATTATTCCAATCCAAAGTTTGCTCACTATAATGTACAGACTCGTAATTCAAATGTGTATTACTTTCAGCAACACTTTGTTTGGCTAAAATGTCTAAATTTTCCCTATTTGCCCTATCTTTAGTTCGTCTTGCTGTACAGCCATTTTCATTCATGCAGACGTCGTTTAATGCTTTCTCTACAAATTTGGACAATATAATAACTTCTCTTTTGTTCTTTTTACATATAGCATGTACTTGTATAATATTATATTACATATTATTAGTCTGAACAGAGATGTGATGAATGTGCATTTCTTTTTATTTGTCCTTGTAAATTTTTAACCTTTACTGTTTAGTCCATTTTTTGTAACTTACCTTTGGCGTAAATCGGTAATGATACATCCCGCCATTGTTTTATTGTGCTATGGTCAATTTTGTATTCTTGTCTTTCATTTTTGCTTATGTACTTTGTCTATAGAGTGTCTATATGCCATTTTGTTTTTCTTTGTTAAAATAATTATTTGTTTTTATAGTGATTAAGATTATATTACAATGTTGACTGCTGTGCCCCAATTTTTGACATTTTTACCTAATTATGTCTGTTTGTTTTGCCCACACATTGTTGTCAATATAATGGAATTTTACGCGACTGTCATACAAGTGAGAGGTTTAGCTAGCTGTAAAATCATGTTAATTCACCATTTTCTACATAAGGAAATACCTGTACCAAGTCAGGAATATGACATGTGTTTTGCATTCGTTTGATGTGTTTGAGCTTTTGATTTTGTTATTTAATAAGGGACATTCCGATTTGAATTTCCTTTGGAGTTCGGTATTTTTGTTATACTACTTTTTATATGAAGAAGTGTCATAAAAGTAATGAACAGAAAAACCAACAACGAACAGTTTGCTTGTCATTTTTCAATTTGACAAAGTTTTAGCTTGGTCTCACTTAATACCTATGTTTCATCAAAGTCTGAATAACACATGAATAAAGGAAAATATTGTATGTTCCCCAATGAAACAGTAAGCAAACGACACAAAACACGAGTTCAGAAGGTTAACAAAAGGTCAAAGACAATATACAAAGTAGTAGAAACAGTAAGGGTCATTTTTTATCCTACCTCAAAACCAAACATTTTTGTTTTATATTTTCTAGTTGGACAAACTTGATTTCCTTACAGAATATAATTTTCTAAACTATTCTAAGCATTTTTCTTCATACGGCAAATTCTAAATTGCAAATAGTTTAGAGGAGATGTGAATTAATTAAACCGCATCCATCAAAGATCTCTTATCGATACCAAATTCCTTTAATGACAAGATCATTATACATTGTAATATAACTCCTTTTTAATGTCGCTCAATCTTTAGTTCTATGTGGACTGTTGTTTGTCTTTCGTCGTTCTCCTTTTTTGGCCGTTGTGTTTTTTTTTATTTATAGTTTTTATTGTGCCATTTGCATCTTTTCACTATTTGTCAATTAGTCTTGTCAATGAGCTATATATTTATCCTAGTTGTCGGTAAATGAGGAATAACCGTTTCTGTGGGTTCTACATAAAAATATTGGGATCAAGCCCTGTCCTACTTGATCTTAATCTTATCTTTTCTCCTAGAAATATTTATACTGTATTCTTCATTTTATTTTACGCATTTACAAAATTTATTTACAAAATACAATTAAGGAACAATTTAAAAAATATATTTAAACCATATCTTTGAATTAAGAAAATGAATAAGCGTGTTTTTTTTATATATATAAATAAGTGTTTTCGCAATAATTAACGGATATATTTAAAAGTAAAAGTATACCAGGCGAGACGGATTTAAATAAGAAAAAAATGAAAAAATTTAACAAACACTTTGCTTGTTATTTTAATATTTTAATACGTATTTATACTGAACTGAGAAATACTGTTAATCCGATATGTCTAAAATACAAGTGTAGCAAAAGATTAGTGTGTATTTTAGCTGAATATACGATAGTCAGACACCGGTGCATAGTATTACACACTAAACATCAAAATAACTGTTATTTCAGGAGAACTTTTATTGTTTTGTACATAAATCAGACGGTTTCTTTTCTCGTTTGAATTGTTTTACATTTGTCATTTCGGGACTTTTTGTAGCTTACTATGCTGTATGGGTTTTGCTCATTGTTGAAGGCCGTACGGTGACCTATAGTTGTAAACTTTGGCGTTTGGTCTCTGGTGGAGAGTAGTCTCATTTGGCAATCATGCCACATCTTTTTTTTTAAATAGTTTAAACTTACCAGTTAAATAAACTTCATAACAATATGAACCAACTACTAAAACTATTGTTGTTATCACTAAATATAGAATTATTCTTCGCCACTTCCTACAAATACAAGTACAGTGCAATTATGTGCTCATTTAGAAGAACTATTGTGATTTCTAATGAATAAGCCTTTTATAGAAATCATATATTTCTACAAGCGGTGTAGCTATTTTTCAGATCCTTTGCCTTAGTAGTATGTTTGGCAAAGTAACTTTATCCCGATTAAAAGACGATTAATTTGGCATACCACTTGAAAAAGAGGGTAATACTATGTTGGATAGGATAGAAAAGACATTTGACAATTAAACAGTCTTTACATCTTAGTTATTTTAAGGACTTTAAGATTAAACACTCTATTTCCGACTAGGCGTTGCTGCATATTAAAACACTCTACACGTGGGTAATAATATTAATACTTTATACCCAGTTTCAGACAAAGCACGCGACAGGAATGACTCTTTCTTTTTATAAATATATTTAATCAATAAATATATATTATTAAAACAAATCGTGTAAATTAAAATATCATACAACATATTTTATCAACATAATATTGGAAATTCAATATATCTATTGCGTTTACATGACTAAAATTGAGACTGATCCCACCTTAACTCGTCACAGCTTAAACACGTTTAATCTATTTTGCTTATTAGTTATCCAATTTACGTCATTTATCTTACTTTTATTGTTGTGTTGACTCAGAAAACTCTAAATCATAGATCTGTTCATTCGAGAAGTATATTCAAGATTATTTAATCTGTACTTAATTTCCAGCGATATTTTCACATTTCGCACAAACAATTATTAGGGAGCTACCATTTGATTTTTAGGGGGGGGGCTAGGATGAAAGATTTTGTCCTGCATTTTTTTTAGTTGTAATCTCTGTCCTGCCTTTTTATTTTTCACTCTATTAGGTCCTGCCTTTTTTTATTAGTTTATCCTGACTTTTTTGACATGAATTGTCATCCTGCCTTTTTTTTTTTTGGCCAAGTTGCTCATCATGGCCTGCTTTTTTTTTACTAAAAACTCCTGTCCTGCCTTTTTTTCAAATTTCATCCTAGCAACCCCCCCCCCCCCCCAGCCCCCCCCCCCCCCAAAAAAAAAATCAAATGGTAGCTCCCTTATTCTACTTTTCCGAATCACGTGAACACTTTATGACTTCGTAGTAAGTTTCTTTTCAGTTTTTACATTTTTCACTTGTGTCAGTAAGTTGTTATTGTACAACTTTCGTGGAATATAATTTTTTCGGTATTTCAGATGATAAATAAGTTTGCTTAAACCGATTAATGAATGGTTGTTACAATACTCATGACAATTAATAAGATTTTTTTGAGAAAAAAGTAAAACATACAATGCTTAGACCAAGATCTTGTGACTTTAGATATAGTAAATTAGTTTTCAGATACACTTCAATGATGCATACTGTTTTATTTTGCCGCTTCAGATCTTTTTTTTTTGAAAAAAACAGCCATTTTTTTTCTCTTCAGACACAACTATTGAAGCTTTCTCTTATATGAAATATACTAAATGGTTAAGTAGGAGGGTCAAATATACTCATTTTGTAAATTTACAAATACAACTCTACATATGAAAACTTAAAAATAAGACGATCTGCGAAACTTTTTCCGTACACCTAGACAATGCATTGGTGTATAATAACTTGCTAGTAATTATCTGTGTACTATAACTTGCTAGATACTTTATATGCACTGTAACTTGCTATTAACTATGTATATTGTAAAATGCTAGTCACTCTATGTGTACTGTAATTTGGAAGTTATCATATTTACACTGCAACTAGCTAATTCGCGGTTCTACAATATGTCGTCGATATCTGTATTATGGCATTGCACAAGGTAATGTTGATCTCTGACTGTTAATGATGTCTTTACACTAAATCCATTGGATGTTGGATGTCTACTGATTGATATTATAGTCTTAGATACATGTTTTTTATTAGCTGTTATTAGCTTTGAACTATAGCTGTCAGTAACTGCGAGTATTCTCAGATCTGTAATTAGTGTCTTTTTTTTTGTTTGTTTTGGGGATGTATAAATACCCGGTTTTTGTTACTTGTTTTTCTGCTTTGTATCGATCTGATGAGTTGAGCCCTTTTCAACTAAATTTTATAGCTTTTTCCATATGTTTGCTGTTAAACCACTGTCCTAGGTTAGGGGAAGGGTTGGGAGCCACAAACATGTTTAATCCCGCCACATTCTGTATGTGCATGTCCCAAGTCAGGAGCCTGTAATTCAGTAATATGTAGTTGTCGTTTGTTGCTGTATATTATATTGGTTTTTAGTTCATTTTTTGTACATAAATCAGGCCATTAGTTTTCTCGTTTGTATTGTTTTACATTTGTCATTTCGGGGCCTTTTATAGCTGACTATACGGTATGGGTTTTGCTCATTGTTAAAGGCCGTACGGTGACCTATAGTTGTTAAACTTCTATGTATTTTTGTCTCTGGTGGATAGTTGTGTCATTTGCAATCATACCACATCTCCTTATTTTTATAATAGCTGTATATTTGTTTATTGTAACTTGCTAGTAATTTTATGTATACTGTAACTTGCTGGTTACTGTATGTATACTATAACGTGTAAGTAACTTTTGGTCTATTGTACATGGCAATTGCTGGTAACTTTATGGCCACTCCAACTTGCTTTTAACTTTGTGTGCACTATAACTTAGAAGTTGCTTTATTCGCACTGTAACTTGCTACTAACTGTATGTGCACTGTAACTTGCTAGTAACTTAATGTGTACTGTAACTTGCTAGTAACTTAACGTGTACTGTAACTGCTAGTAACTTTTTTCTTGTGTCATGGAGTAGTTAGGTGTGAATGAATAGAGTTCATAAAATGTCGATTTTAAAGTAAACCGAAAGTTGAAATACATATTTGAGAGTAATTTATGAATGTTATTTGCAATGTGTTACTGATCAGTAATGATCGTCAAGTAGCTATTATATAGATTAGACCGTTGGTTTTTCCGTTTGAATGGTTTTACACTAGTAATTTTTTGGGGCCCTTTATAGCTTGCTGTTCGGTGTGAGCCAATGCTCCGTGTTGAAGGCCGTACCTTGACCTATAATGTTTTACTTTTATAAATTGTAACTTGGATGGAGAGTTGTCTCATTGGCACTCATACCACATCTTCCTATATCTATATAGAGTGTGAATATAATTTACGGTCATTTTAGTTCAATGTAGTTGCTTACTGGTTTAATGTTTTCTATACTGACTGTTTAGATGTCACATTTAGGAAACTTGGAAAGGAATTCTTTTTTCATACAAAATGCATAATGAAATGAAAGTAATATGCATAGCTCTTAACGTCATTATCTTTATTTGTACTATGAAACTTTGAACGTCAAGTATTTGGAAATTTTAAGTCGAATAAAATTCGTTCGTATGATTTTAGAACAAATATATAGTTTATTTGGTCTGTAACTCATGGAAAACGTCAAATGCAGGTCGTATGCCTTAATGCTTTCACATCAGAATTTGTTTACATACAAGAAAACAGCAAGGTAAATTTCTTGAAAGTATGTTTGATTGTATATGAGAAATATGAGAAATGAAATAAAGGTACATTATATTGCAGAAACAGGTGCATCAAAATATATTTAATATTTAAAAAAAAACAAAAAAACTGAGGGATGAGTCAGTTGAGACTCTTCTACTCCTCGCTTTATGATATGAAAATAATATTTGAAGTAGTTTTCATTTTTAGGAATGGTGAAATAGATTACTGCTTGAATATCTTTTACAATCTGGATATAGTTTATGTCGGTTTTTTTTTTTAAAGTAGTACATATGTAGCAAACAGACCTCAAATTCCAATCATTTGATAAAATCAAATTACCAATGAAACGGTTTTTCAGATAACAAAAAAAATCGTGAAATATTCATTATTAATAAAAGAAAATCCCACTTTACCTGTGCATTTTATTTCATCAGCTGTTGAAACCTTATCATAGGTAATAATATGTACATAGCAAGTTCATCAACAAAACAACAATTTATCGATACGGATTACGTTCGTCAATAGTATCTTACAGTAAAGACTACAAATTGATTTAAGATGTGCACTGAGGACTTTTCACGTGATTGTATTCGGATTCGGACGATTATGTTATTGTTGAATGTTTCATCAATGCACATTGACATGCACTATGGTCCGATGTTGGTGGAAAAGATTATTTTGACTGCACTGTAAAGTGATGCTTGTAGACCGGATGAATGGGTAGCTGACGTTAGACTGCCTGACGAAAAAAGCAAAGCATAGGGTAAATGCCAAGCATGGGTCATCTACGGGTCATTTTCTCCACAACAACACGAGTTTTGGATTTGACTTCATCAATTTGCATCTGTATGTGTGTACTAAAACATTTATTTAGTCTCCGTGTCTGACGGGAAAAGTATTGGTACTCATTGTTTTATAACAAGCCCCTCTTGAGGTGGAATGCTGCCATTGGTATGATTGGTATATTTTCTGGTAATTTTATAATAGGACGACCCTGCTATCACAGACGGTATGGTGAATAGCTAACAGCTTTAGGTCAAAAAGACACATAATTGGAATTACAATTTTGTATTACTCAATAAAAGTTCGAAGTATCAACAATTGACGTTATAATAACAGTATCCAGCGTATATTTAATATAAACCCAGTATAAACATAATAAAGGTTTTATCCAAAAACATAAATGAAATCAACAATTTATATATCCGAAATCCGTATTGTGGCTTCTCCAAATCCAAACTAACCTAACTTTAGATCTTATTTAAAATATATTGTTAAACCTATACAGTATATATCTAATACATTGTATACCTAATACATTGTACAATATATATTACATCATGATCTAGAAACAAACAAACAAAATACAAACTTTAAAGCACATGAAAGGATAAAGTCTTAGTGTTAAACTATGTAGAAAATCACTAACGGATCATTAGGCTTAACAATGTCAACATACTAATTAGTAAATAACTGTAGTTAAACCGTTAATACTCAAAAACAATAGAGAAAGTATTAAAATAAAATAAATGAACTGAGAAAAGGTACTTTAATTTGATCATAGGAAAAAGGTTGTTTGTCATTGTCACATTTTTAACTGCATTTTTGATCATGCTTGTTGATTATGAATACATGTATTTTAATTTAAACGGAAGCGTTTTCTCATTAATCACTTTTAAAAGGGGGTGCTATTTAAGTTTAATGTTTATAATCTTCAATGGTGTGTTTGCTACATGAGGGATTTTTTTAAACTCTAAGTAACAAAATAGGGTGATGCATTGTCGTATATTTCTTACATCAACAGTCGTTTCCTGATTTTTTTTCATCTGCTACGCGTCGCCAGTAAAAATGAATTTGCGACCGTTAAATTGCTAATTGACGGCGTCAACTTTTCAACTACAGTACTGTTATCCTTAAATGACATCGACTACACCTGGGCCATAAGAAAGCAACAAAACACACATCATACGCACACACAAAACAACTGAAGGCTGAGCAACATGGACCCTATCCAAACCGTGTGTGACCTCAGGACTCCGGAGTGGTAGGCAGATCTTGCTCCACTAGTGGCACACGTTGTGTTACTCATGACAAGTAAATATACATTTCCAGTAGTTAACTGCATCATAAACGAAGAAAAGAACACAGAATTATGGCTGCAACAAGTGAAACGTAACAGTGGCCATCCGTCATGATGTTTTCTATTAACCTGTCAAAGATGTTATCGCACCTTTGCCATTTTAAATCATTAAAACAAAACTATATTATTCTCAGTCTGCGTGAAAACATACTCAATGTTAGACTGAACAGAAATAATGTCGTGTATATATCAATGTGATAATATTCAATTGATTGATTGTTGGTTGCTTAACGATAACATTCAACATAACAACAGAAGTTAATATAAGGTCTTAAGAAAAGGCAAGTGTCTATCAAATATGTCAAGCTCCAAATCGACCCGAATCTAACAATTTATGTATAAAATGAACAGAAATTATCAAAGATCTGCACTGAGCCCTCTTTAAATTCGATCAATTAAGTTACTGAACGCAAGCGCAAAGTGATTGGCAATGATTGACATCTACACTATAAGAATAGGAATTTGCACACTAAATGTGAAACTCGTGCTGCTATAAAAACTTGAATTCCCCCCTTAATTAAAATAACTTTATTTCATACGATAAAGTTTACACTGTATATTGTATATTGTCCAGATGTTACTTATATAAAGATTTAGGTATTTTTATGTTTGCCATAAAAAATCGATCAGGTTATAAATGAATATTGAATACTATGATTAAGCCTATTGATGAAAAAGTTATTTAAATCATGAATTGGAAATGTGCATTTGACATTCAGTGGCAAGTGAGTGGTTCACGCATAGTCGAGACGTGCAAATTGTCAAAAATGTATAACAAGTATTTATATAACAAAAATACCGAACTCCAAGGTAAATTCAAACGTTAGACTTTATCACCCAACGGAACAAATGGGAAAAAACAACTCTCATATTACTGACTTGGAACATGCATTTTCGGGGAGAAAATGGTGGGTTAAACCTGGTTTTATAGCTAGCTAAACCTCCCACTTTTATGACAGTTGTTTATAGTTCCGACATAGTTAGGTGAACAACCCAAACAGACAGAATAGGTTTATATGACAATAATTACGACCCGGCTGCCAAAACTGTGTAATCATACATCACAGACATACAACACAACTGACCAAAAAATTCGAACACACATACATATAAATCTAACACAGACAACTAAAAAGTTTTAATTTGATAGTACATACAGTATAAAGTATATACTTTCTCGATAAAGTACAATTTAAGTAAAATATAAAGACAAGGGTAAACAAAATGAAAATAACACTGTAAAAACCTGTTGCGTCCGAATCGCACCTCTGGACCCACCTACACCAGGATCGCTCAATAGCAAAAACCCGACAGTTGGATGCATAAATACCAGCCACTTCAAAGACAAATGAAAGGAAAACTGTAAAGTAGATGAAAAACACACAGCCCCTAGAATCTATAACGCGAGACCATCTTGTATAATTTGTGAAGTAGACACTGAATATTTATCTATTAGGTCTTGGAACTCCCCGATGAACGTTTTGAGAAAAAGGATGAGACGCTCTTTGACAAAACCCTGAGTCATCAATCTTTTTCTAAGACACCGACGTCGTTCTACAAAGTCTGAATAGCAGCTGCAAGCTCTTGGATATGGTAATTTTTGGTATGAGTTTAGAAATGTATACTCCATACGCGGGTGAAGTTGGTATATTAATTGATAAATTTTGAATAGTAGTAACACCAGTAGATGAGTTGGGAACTTTTGTCTGCTGTTAGAGAGACAGTAAAAAAAAATATGGGAGGTCAACACAGAATCTTCTGAGAGTTTACGGCTTCTCACTTTATCGCTGCAATTATAAATAAACATAAAATTATGCTTAAGGTGACAAGTTGTAGAACTTAACAAAAAGTTTTTTTGCAGAAATATTTATCTTTCACTATTAAGAAAAATGAAATAAAGTGTACCATGTTCATCAAACATACTCTTACTGTCTCGAGACATATTCTGGCTTCTAGTATTTTGTTAAGGAATTCGGACATAGCATAACGTTATGTATACTAACAGTATGGACTTTTTTTCAAAAAGCAAATTATTACAGCTTTATTATTGAATAATATTGGACTACATTTTTTTAGGGTATACTTAATGGAATGATTTATATGGGGTGTTAAGTGTTTTCTTTTGGATGTATCATGCTTTGTTCATGCCTTAAGCGTGATGAACCTAATTAAGATACATACAATCGCTGAAAAATGTTGGAGTGTGCAAATACAGGACATGAAGCTGTTTGCTGATTTACTTTTTGTCAGTATTCGGAATCTTCTGGTTTTATCCATGCAGTGCCATTAAATATTTTGCCCACTAACCCTAGCCTGGCATCTTGGCCAAACCTCCTCTTTGCATCTGTCGAGCAGTGAGGCAGGATCCCGGGCTACCACTAACCCATACTTTTCATTTCATAATTTTATTACAGATAGTTTAAAAAGTTCTTTTTGAAAATTTTAATTTTTTCTGCTTTTTTTGTTCCTTTATTTATATACTACCAATTAGAAGTCTTTTAAAAACCTAGTTATTTTCAAATAGAGCAAGCAACAAGCTTAATTTGGCTTGAAAGGAAAGATAACCGAGAATAATTATTTTTAATAACAAAATGAACATATGTTACATACACCCCAAACCAATAAAAGTCTGAAATGACCTATATCTGTACTGATTTTTACTCGACCACTCTGAATTGGTTCTGAAATTAGCTTGATATTACTCGACTGTAGTCTGAACCATACTTAACAGTCTGAACTTGTTCTCGACCTTTACTCGACCAGTACTTAACCATTCTCGACCTAGCCTGAACCATGCTCGACCTAGTCTGAACCATACTCGACCTAGTCTGAACCATACTCGACCTAGACTGAACCATAATCGACCAAGTCTTAACCAACCTAGACCTATTTCTGTATCTTTCTATTGTATTTCATCAATTAGGGAACTATTTTTAAGTTATTTCCCTTGGCTATAAATCTGAACAACAATTTGATATCTAAAATGTATTTAATATAGCAATGAAACAAAAATTTCACAATAAACATAGTATAATCATCAATACCGTATTCATCATATATTGGAATTTAAGTAAATAGACTTAAATTCAGTTATCGCTGGGGCCTCTGTCGGATAGTGTTTCATGTTTTAGCTTTACCCAACATGAGTGACGTCATATTCTGTGACGTAATTTAGTCCTTTGCAGAAATTTTAAGCTAGCAAGCAATTTATTTCGTTAGCGGTAAAATTGAAAAAATCAAGGTTTAAGAAGTTATCTTTTATTCTAAATTAGTGTTGGTATGGGAAGGTGTTGACTTGTTTTATGCACCCAATGTTGATAAGCTGTAGTCTTAGAAAGGAAATTCATTTTATCGCCATTATTTTACCATATTCCAGCAGAAATTATCGCCACGTGGTGAGCACATGCGGCGAAAGAGCTGAAATCTATTATTCGTTTTCCATTATTATTTTATTTTAACATAATATAACTAATGAGATATAATATTCTCCAAAGTTTTGCAGATCAAAAATAATGATTTCGTCCTTGTATTTTAGTTTACTTTAATGTAGTCAGCCTGGTTGGTACACATACAGTGATACACATTTTATGACGACGAGTTTAAATTTTTTTTATATTACGTTTAGCTTTTTAAGAACGGTTGTGGGATGGCGTAATACGCTGTAACAGATAAGTAACTTTTATAGTTTACGTAACCTTTGTAGATCACGGGATCAATGTGTATGTGATATGAGGCAAGCGTTATCTGATGAGCTCCCTACAACGATATTAACGTACCAAGGTGCGAAGGGACGTACCCGGCTGTGGGGCGAAGGGACGTACCCACTTTGTGGCGAACGGACCCACATTCATATATTCAAAATCTTACAGAGAGATAACAAGCAGTAGCCCAAATCGTCATATCTAATGATAGCTTGTTTCACGAGTTTAGCAAACATATATTTATGTATCCTGCTACAAGTTTTTGCGTGTTCCTACACACTTCAAGTCACTTGATATTAAAAACTGAGCCGAGGGTCGAGTCGGTTAACATGTAAAAGTACAATGAATGGTTGAGATAAATCACAAATTAAGCCATAAATTATTATGGCATCAACAGGTCAC